TATTCTTACGAAACAACAACAATAAGCGCGATAATTACAGCAGCTAGGACAGGGATACTGCATCCAAGTTTAATAACACCACGAGAATTAGCAAAACATCTAACAGAAATCAAATTAAAACTACCTATAAATTTAAATTTGCCAATGGGCACGGACCCAAGTGAAATTTACGAACTAAGTAAAATAACAAAAATGGCAGTATTTTATAGCGGGGATAATATTGCGTTTGTAATAAAAATACCTTTAGTAACCGAATTGGAACTAACACTATACAAAATATTACCAATACCTCACCCAATAGAAATAAAAACTAACGGGGTAATCGATACAAAGCATAGTATAATTATTAAACTAGAATTTCAATATGTAGGCATTACCAAAAATCGCAAACAGTACACTACGTTCACGGAAACACAGTTACTGCAATGTACCGAAACAGAACTTTTTACTATTTGTCCCGAATTTCAACCTATTCAACACAAATCAGTTAAGCAACCATGCGAGATTTCATTATTTAAAAATCCAGACACACTACCGAGTAGTTGTGAAACAGGAATAGTAATATTATCGAAAAACGTTTTTTATAAATTAAAATATGTAAATGTATGGATATACACAACAAACGGGGAGACTTTAACAATTGCTTGTCAAGGGATAAACGAACCATATATAGTTAAAATTAAAAACCAAGGGTTAATTAAATTAAACCAAAATTGTAGAGCTTATGGTGAAAACATTATTTTAAATCCTACTAGAGACATAAGATCAAAATATTATGTTAATTTCATACCACAGATAGGTGCGGGAAAGTTAACATTCGAGATACCTGATAAAATAAAAAACCTACCAGACATGAAATTTACTTATGACACAAATAAATTAGATAGCGTGCATAMCATGGCTAAATCGTTAAATGAAGTAGAAGGTTTGATAGACGAGGAAATTTTAAGACTATCAGGTCACGAAGTAAATGACAATAAATATTTGTATTTAATATATATAACGATCGGTACAGTACTATTTTCTATGATGTTAATATTATTCATATATTTAACATATAAATGTAAATGGGGTAATTGGGAAGCATATAGAAAATCACGTTACGGAACAGATAGAGAACCAAGAACTAGAAGTAAATTCTATATGGAAACCCCATGTGCAGAAATAAAAGAACATACAAATGTGAGTCCACTTATGGAAAATAAAAAAGTAAAAAACGATCCACCAATGATAAAATGTTAAATAGTAGTATAAGAAATAATACCTGAGTAAAAATAATAATAATAAATTTAGAATTATAAAACCAAAATATAGATTAGTTAGATAATAATTATATTTAGCCATTATATTATGAAACATACCCACACAGCAATTGTCAATCTATACAATTGTATAAATGTTTAAAATTCATTGGATTTCAAATATTTGAAATAAAAGATTTATACAAAATTGTGTGTAAATTGTAATTCTTTATATTGTACTCGAAGTATTTGATAATGGATAA